AGTGCAACGTTACACATCGTCATTTTTTTCCTGAGTTGACCACCAGAGCTTCTTCTCTTATGTACGATTAAAATAAAGACTTGAGAAGGACTACGTTCAAAATAAAGGGCCTCAGGTAGGAAAGCAGAATGTAATGAGCTTTTACAGGCAGGTTAGAAAACACTGAAACTAAACTATTTCCAGTCAGCCTGTTATAAAATGACCACCAACTTTCTCAGTTTGTGTACAGGGATGCACGATATATCGGCAACCACATCGGTATCGGCCGATATCAGTGTTTTTTCCCATATATCGGCCGATACCGATGAACAAATTTAGTCGATGATTGTCTAACATCATCGCCTTTGTCTTTACATTTGATGTTGCTGCTATTTCACAGATGTTTTTACTTAAATGGTCCTCGACTTAAATATGTTTGTTACGCAATTAAGTAGACTATGTGGTCTTTGGGCTTCTTCTGAATAGTTTTCACGTTCCCGCACTTATATTCATTTTTCGGTGTGAACAAAAATTTAATATCGACATCGGTAATATCGGTTATCAGCGATATCAGAAATCTTAATATCGGCCAGAAAGTTTAATATCGTGCATCACTAGTTGTATTTATATCTGCATGTCTGCATTATGGATCCACGTGTCAGAAAAGCCTGAGAGGAATTTTAATATCTCAAATCCAGAAAAAGAATCCAGGAAGATCGGTGACCAGCTAAAGTCAGTGAAAACACAGTAATCATGAGGTACGGAACAGTGGCGTTCTCCTGAGATGATGCCACTGACAGGACACTACTTTATATCTTTGGAAAAATGAAGTGCGTCAGACTTGGCAGAGCAATGATGACCAGAAACTGGAGTCTCTGTAACGGCTCAGAGTGAGAAGGACGGTGCATATCGTCAGCCTCTATGAATGAAGAATAAAAATTGTGCTTGCTGCTCGGCATTAAACCTGCAAGATTAGATTTTGGTAAATAACATGAAAAAAAGCCTGATGAATATTAGGAGGACATCCCTTGATAAGATGAGACCAACATACATTTGTTCAGCTCAGATTTTGTTGTGAACCTGTTCAGGAGTGAATGCATAGTCCCGACAGTGAAGCACAGAGGTGGGAGTGAGATGATAAGAGGTTTACCAAAATGTGAGACCCCACCATGAAAACCTGTGGATGCATCTAAACACTATCTGACGAGACGACTCCTGGTCTGCAGACGCCTGGCGGACGAGGAATATTCCAGCATGATCCAAAGCAAAGAATGGTAAAAACTGTGACCCGGCCAAGTGTATCGCCTGATGTGAGTCCAACAGAACACTTTTGGGGAATTTTAAAGCAAAAGGGAAACGAACACAACCCCTCTGACTCTAAGGCCAGAACAGCTTCTAGATCCTATTCACAGAGGAAAGGGGATGAAGGAGTTCCTACTTTAGGGGCTAGATTTTTTAATATGGTGAATCAAAAGAGTTAATTTTTAATTTTACAAGAGAGCAAATTCCTACAGTTCAACCTAATGCAGTAACTATCAGGTGATAATATTTTTAATGGATTGACATGTAGATGATATCACTAAGGGGTCGACTCACTTCTGCTGTTAGATCGTTTGTCATATGTTGTCGAGCATTTTGAGACTTCCTCCTTTACAAACAGTAATTTTGCACCCGATGATCCACCAGTTGGGGCATAAATAACTAAATAAAGAGCAGCACATGGATAATATCAGTTGGTAGCATTAATGAGGTTCCTCCACTGATGTAGTGTTGCACTTCCAAAAGGTTGGGGCAAAAAAAAAAGATTATAAGGGGGAAAAAAAGTGTGGCAAGATATCCTAACTTGGAGGCCTTCGTGGAGGAAAAATCTGAAAAATGAAGCTCCTACTATTTTTCCCAAATGGCAAATACCAACATTTTTCAAACTCCATCCCCCCAGTTCGCAGCGATAAATCTGATCACATCACTATTTTAGAGAGTTTCCTCCAAAGCGAGCTCCAGAACCACCCAACATGGATCAAATGTCAGCGGAGAGGTACTCATAATCACAATCAAAGGAGTTTTATTTAAACCACTTACTCACCAAAGCATGTTCCCATCATGGTTAGTAAATGTGTTGAACGCAAACAGTGTTTGTCTTCACTGCTGCACTTTGGAAGCTGGACGTGTGCATCCCTGTGTGAATCGATACAGAACTGAGTAAAGACCCACAAAGAAACCAGCACCAACAGTGGCCACAGTGGTCAGGCGTCCCTTAAAGCCTCTGTGATGACGTTTAGTTGTCCGTGAAACATAAGGCAACATAATGCAAGTTTAATAAAGACCTAGAATCAGCGAAAACATTGACAAATCCCCCAACTGGGCATCGGCTGCGAGACTGTGATCTCGTATTGAAAGCTGTTTCGGTCGCACCGTCAGTCCCCTGTAGCTGTGACAAACAACTAGTCAGCCACTTGCCAGACAAGAGTTATTCTGAGACAGGTTTTTTTTCCTCCCCTTCCACACAATGAAATATGGATAAGAGCGGTGAGGATAGTGGGCAGCTGTCAACAAATTCCACAGCTCCCCGCCACCACTGATCAATCAGTCCCGTATCTGAACCACAACAGCGCCGACCCGCTGGCTAGACCTGACATTAATCCTAAATCTTCCAGTCAGTGTGGAGGAATGACAGGACATAACACGGCGGTGGGAGCGAACGCCGATGCGGGCTCTAACGAGGAAAGGTGCTGATGCTAATGAGTGTATCTGTGGCTCTTTAACGAGCCTGCATCATTTGATGTCCTAATTTACAATGAGCTGTGTCTCAGGGGTTCAGGATAATGAGCTGGACCGGGATTCCCAGGGCAGCAGCTTGTGTAACCCATCTCATGCAGGGGACACTCTCTCCCACCGAGTGTGAGCGAGAGACGGGAGCCGAGAGAGCAGGAAGGACATCTTCCATGTCTGCAGGAGAGAGGGGGAGGCCGTGAGGGAGGAGGACGGGGAGGTGGGTACATGTCATCTCTGCTTGATATGATTGTTTGTACACACCAATCATTGAATCGCTGCGTCCAAGTGAGAAAAGCTTGTGTTCTCTGTGACAAACTGACCTCGGGCAACAAGAGCACTCACAGAAAGAGGAAATGGAGACGGAAAGCATGGCGGGTGGGGGAGAAGAAGAAGAAGAAGAAGAAGAAGAAGCTGAGGCGGTAATTGTTGCCGGGATTTTTTTTATCACGATCTCGTCCACAAAACAGCAATCAAAGGCGTCTCTTCTCTTGCTTGCATAATCAAAATCATCTTTACTGAGCAACCCGGAGGAAAAAAAATAAAAAAATCAGGCTCCTAGTTCACTCTGGAGCAAATTAACAAATGTGGAGCTCAGTGACCTCAGAGCGGAGACCATCCACACAGAGTATGCAGTGTGCCCTACCACCCCCACCTCTTACTGCTGCGTCTGCATGGCTGCATTAGTCAAGCTCAAATGGGTTTTTCCGCCATGAGAAGCAGAGCATGACATGCGCTCAACAATGGCAGGCAGATGACGAGCCAGCTCCATTTGATGATGGCCTCTGCCGACGCGAGCTTTTTATAATTTTTTTTTTTTCTTTTTGATGTGGAGGAATACAAGGGCAGCATGAATCATTATGGGTGCACAGGTGGCCCGAGATCTAATGAGTCACATTTTGTGCAGCCCTAATGTGCAAATGGCTTAAAGAGGGCTGTGCACGTTAAAAAGCAGGCGTGCTTTAGCTACGAGTTGGGACTCTTTTCCTCGTGTTTTTATTTTTCTTATATCAAATCTAACACGACGCTAGCTCAACCTCACAAAACAAAAACACAAAAGCAAGAAAAAAAAGAATGAATTTCAGCCCTAACCCACAGTGAGCACAACAGCGAACACTCGGATTATAAATTACTTTGCTGCTCGGTTCTGACATTATGACTCAACGGTTTAAAAGTCAAGCACCGAATGATGGTATTTTAATAAAACTAAGAGCCGCCATCGACATCCTCTGAATAAATGAGCACTAGCTGTTTATCAATTAACTTGCAGCGAGTTGTTTTCCACGGCTTCTGCTGGTGTTTCTGATCGGTCTTAGCCATTAACACTGCCCCCCTCTGGCTAGCTGGCGGCCTTATTGGGTCGCTGTCATTGCATCGATCAGCCGGACATCGAGTCCGGAAAGAAATCTATGGACAGAACTATAGAAACTATCTTCTAACAGACTCGCAACCACTCTGGAAAAAAGAAGTTTGAAAATTAAATCACGATCTAAAAATAACTCGTGGATTCATCGCAGGAGCCACAACAATCCAAATTGTACCTGATCTATTAACTGCTCGCCACTGAGCACCATTTGAACATTTGACCTTCGAGCACAGCTCATGACATTATGTTGACATTTACAGTAATCCCTCCCACGGTTCTCAATCCCGGTGGCCGTGGACTGCCCTCGCCCGTGCTCTCAGCTCAGCTCTCGCCACATACCGACAGCAAACGCAACTCTGACACTGGAAGCGGTCAGCAACACCCTCGTGCTTCGGGGAGCTCGTGGGGCTCAAACCATGCAGCGGTGAAAGGAGCTTGTTAATTATCAAACACAAACCGAAGCGTTAAGTTACCCGCCGAGGCCGAGCAGCTAACATGACGATGCATTACATTTGAGCTCAGCTGAAGACTTTCCTGAAAAATAAGTCGATGTTTGAAGAGGCCACAAGGTCGTGGAGGTATCTGTGGTACTATTACCATCAGGATGGAGCACAATGACAAAGATCTTTTGTTTTTAACTCATATAAAGTTCTGCCTCTTTTTCTTTTGCTTCCTTCGAGTGGCGGGATGATGCAAAGCAAGTTCATATCCCAACACACATTATCTAACTCGTCGTTTTCTGACGCGTTGTTCTTGATCTTCCAGTCAATCTTTGATTTCGCAGCACCTTTACCACACTTTTCGGTTACATAATTTTGGCTGTCAGTCACAGAAAGTTTCACTTAAACAACAGGCCCCCACAGATAAAAAGTGATGAAATGAGAGGTACAAGATGACAACCCATTTATTTAGTAATACATTCTGCAAACTAGAAATTTTATTCAAACTTCAAAGGCTAAAAAATGAAAGAAAGGAGGGAAAGAAGGGGAGAAAATTTAAGGAGCAGGGAGAAAAATGCATCTATTCACAAGCAAGGAATGCAATTTGTTCAATCGACAACACAAATAGTACAATTTAGTTCAGGGAACAAAGCTTTTTTAAACATTTCTTTTTTTTTTCTTTTTTCTGCCATTCCTTTGGAGCTAGAACATAATACAAAATATACAGTTATTGAACTTTGTAAAATCACTCACAGAGGCCTCTGAGAAGCATTTGAATCAACATTGACAATACTTAACTACAGCACTCTAAAGCTATTCTTGAATGTAATCATAAATAGAGCAGACATGAATGTATGTATGCACATTTCGAATGCTTACGAGGTTACCATGTTAAAACACTTGCATTTGTTAAAAGTATGACATCATCTGCAGTGGAAATTAAATAAGCTTTCAAGACCGAGATTCAATACGGTAACATGGAAAACAAAACAGAATACAAACCAGCCATGGTTGAAAAGTTGTACCTTGTGATAACCAGGACAAAGTCACTTTGTTGATAGCTTAAGTACCTTAGAATGGACAAAGGTTTCTGAATCTGTCAGGATGTAATGTCAGCAGCATTACGCCTCATAGTGTTTTGTTGAACGAGTATTTGGGGGGCGGCGGGGCGGAGGGGGGCAAGATGAGATTGGGTAAGGCAAATCGGTGAGCTTATTTATGAGCTGAAAAAGGTCAGCGAAGTGAGGCTCCGGCCGCCCTGTAAGGGGACGAACCAACCAGCACTACTAAGGGTCACACAGTAAACGCCACAACTGAGGTACATCGATATGTACAAGAGGGCGCAAGCATTTAAAATCTCTTTAACTTCTGCCAGGTAGTCCTCCATACAAGAATATACAGGATGGATTCCAGGCAACCAAAGGTAACTCTGTAAATAGCTTTATAATCTTTTTGTTTTTTTCTTCTCTACAATAACAATTTTCTGAAAGGAAAAAAAAAAAAAAAAAGCTGATTATACAGATGATCAGTGCATATGACTATCGTCATTTAGTCACACTTATTTTCTCACACATCTCACATTTCTAAAACCCTGAACTCTCAATACAATTATAGATTTGAGCTAAGTGAGCATCACACGAGTGGACGAGTGGGTGAAGTTACACAGGTGAGCGTTCGTTTGGGTGGGAGGGGTGAGGACAAGGCCGATAGTGTTTCTAGTTCCTAAAACAAGCTGTCGTTTGCAGTAGCTTCTTAAGTCGTTACTCGATCCGTTTAACATCAGCACAATTCAGTCAAACACTGTACACGAGCGTCACCACGTCCCATTCAAATAGATCAGTGTTAAAATAGTAGGTTCTAGGGAGGAAACATCAGAAAACATCCTGTCGTTAGAGTGAACCGCTTAACAAAAGACAAAAAAACACTTCCTATAAAGGTTATGAGGTATTTCAGTTAATGAAAAAAAATTTAAACAAACATAATATATATTTGGGATAATCGTTTGTTCAGTTTCGGGGGAGCGATGAGACATTTTACAGGATTAAAACAAACAAGCCACCGTCAGTATCCGCTAACATTCCAGCTAATTTTAATATTTTAAATAAAAATCATTTCTACAAGTCTTATGAGTCTATTGTAGAAATGGGAGATCAACCAGCGCTATCTAAGGGCCGCATCACAGATTCTAAATTTGAAAAGACAAAACGCAGGACGGGCCGGGGGGCTACGCGGTCATCGACTTCCTCAACACACAAAAAAAATGTTTGTTCCTCATTAAGCTTGAAGGAAAAAAAAAAAAAGGCATGAAATGTTCCTTTCAGAGTCATTAATACCTACCAGGTTTGCAACAAGCAGCTGGGTGCTGACAAACGTTAGATAAGAGACATTTAGTGCACTTACTTAACAAACAGAAGCTACGCAGAGGAAAATAAATAGCTGACAGATTAAATATAAACTGCTTAGCTAAATAAAAAGCATTTTCAAATACACTTTTCCCCTCAAACACGCTAAATAAACCGAGCGTTTTACATGATGTGAGTACAGTAGGTATACAAGCATTACGGTGGAAATACAGTATTTTAATCTTAAACCAAAAAGATGTGAGTTTAAAGACATTAGTACTGCTCAGCTGTTTGTTTCTGTTGCTTTTTTATGGAAAGGAAGATTAACGTGGAGCCACATTTTCATGCAGAACACAAACATCCTATTTGACATGTTGGTAAACGTGAGTCAGCTCCCACTTATTTGTGTTTTTTCTGTAGATGGCTGGTTAAAGGTACCCGCTGGAGTCTCCACCGTGAACACAGTCAGGTTACATTCAACAGTTATCAGCATTTTGCTTTAAGGCCGACCAAACTTTTCCAGAACACTCTCACGGGCTCTTTCTGTTTGTTTTGGAATCAGCGCTTTCAATTCTCATTTCTTACATGCTTCTTAATGCCACGTTACCATGACACCACCTGTTGATATATATACATTACTGCCCCCTGCAGTCGGGGGAACAACATTTCACGCCCCCCATGCGTTTGTCCTGCATGTCCGTCCTCGTGTGAGTGCGCCTGCAGAACGAAATCCAGCTCATCAAAACATTTCTCCACAACATCACCGATGTCAAAACTCCACAGAGTACCTTTAAAAGCCAACTAATGGAACAAAAACATCCTCAGAGTTGTTCCCCAACAGCCTGACATTTTATGTTCTGCAGTGTTACAGCTCGTTCTTTTTGAAACTGTGACTTATTACGGTGCAGACTTTGGCGTCTTTGGCATTTTTGTGCCACAAAAGCGTGTTAGAAAGCAGCTAATCTGGATTAAGATTTAATAACTAGCTAAGCACCACAGAGCTGAACGTGGCGACACCGTTAGGATTGTCATTCTGATGAGTCAAGAAGTTTATAATAAAGGGAGCCGTTCAATTCTTCACCGCTGATCACAACAGTGACTAATCACAGGGAGACCTTTGTTTGCCACAACACAACAACAGAACTACCCATCTCAAGACAAACCAGAATCACATTTTTGTCAATGGCAAAAAAACTAGCTCAAGCCAAATGATTTATTCCTTGAAAATTTAAGTCAAAAATATATACATACATAAATTTCCAACAATGCAAGACAAAAAAAAAAAAATGGCAGAAAATAAATCTGAAATAAAACCATTTCTCTTCAAGAAATATCTCTACTGCGTGTGTTAAATACAGGTTTAGTCAGTGACTACGTTCTCAGAGGGGACGTTAAGGAGGAAAAAAAAAAAAAAAAGCAAAGTGAACCCACAGATCATACACTGTAGCAGCAAACTGCATTGTGCTGTGGCATGTGGAGCCGTGGGGGTGTGAAGCAGAGCAACCCTGATGGGAATAGAAAGGTGCTATACAACCATGAGAACTCAGCGGATTTGTTCTTGTTGTAAATGTCCAAATAAAGACCATGTGAAAAAAAAAAAATAGCCTTGTGAGTTCATGAGCCGACAGTTTTTTTTACATTTTTTCTCGTCTATTTTTGGCCTGCTGATGTGTGATTCTGTCTAAAATACTCAGTGCTTCAACTGTCAGTCAAATTATCAGATGTTAAAGTTAAAATCTATCTGTACCACATACAAAAAAATGAATCTCGTGAAAAAGGAAAAAAACAAAACTTGGCATAGGCTGTCATAAAGCTGAAAAATGAGATTAAAAAATAAAATCATATGGCACCCACAGTGGTCACTGGTGTAGATGTACGCTTAGAAATGTGTATTTAAATAAGCTAGTGAACGCCTGACTAGCTGCGAACCACCGCACACCTCTGGTAAATCAGACTACTTGTGTCATCTCAGGTTACAGTCAAGTTTTTGAAATATAGCTTGAAGTTGTTCAAATATGAGTAACGACGTGTAAACTCTTGTTATCCAAATTAGAAAGTAGTGAGAGCCTAAGTTGGGTCGATATGGAAACACTGGCTACGATGGGTGAGCATGAGGGGGGAAAGCGATTCCCGTCGCCTGGTTTTGTCGTCTGAACCGTCAAATTGAAATTAAGAGTTGCACAAACAGATCTGCCTTTCCACTAACGCACGTGCGCACATACATACACACAAGCACCCACGCACGCTTGCAAGTATCTATTAGCACAGACTAACATGTTATCATGGGACTCATCACCAGAGATCTTTGCAAAAATGAGGAAAAAAAAAAAGAAAAAAAGATTATTTTACCACTTCATACTTTCAAAATGATTGAGAAACACCTTGCCAGTATTATTTGAGCATGTACAGAAAACCACTTACAAAAGTAAAATACAATTAAAAAAAAAAAAAAAAAAAAAGCAGAGGGGAAAAAATAATAATTAGGATTTAAATGGTTTTGATATAGAGAGCTTACTGTGCTGTCAACTATACAATTTACCCGTTTCTTAAAGGAGCATAGACTAACTGAAGAAAAAAAAAAAAGAAAGAAAGAAGAAGAAGTAAAGTAAAAGCGCAGAGACATTGTGCCTGGAGGACAAGCGGTAATATTCACTGAATAGACATTTGTTAGAATTCCAGAAGAGCAGGAAAAGGCAGATAGTGCATAAAAGGTTCTCTTTTTCCATTTCTTTCATTTTTTAACTTAAAATCAAGCTGCATTAAATACAGGCTGTTTGTACAGGACAATTGCACTTCACAAAAACAGAAATATACAAACACACACAAGGAAATGTGAATCAAATTAATTACAGCAAAAACAAAAAAAATAAATCAAGGAAAAAAAAAATCTTACTACTTAAGCCGATTATTTAACAAAAAAGAAAGAAAACCTTGTGGACTCACTTGTTATGGATTACTTTAGAGGAGAATATTAAGGTGGGTGAACATAAAGGGGAGACAAGACGGTGGGGATCCTGAACTCCAGAGTGAATTGGTGCTGCACTATTCCAGGTTTGTGTGCATGCAACTCCTCTTCCTCCTCCTCCTCCTCCTTCTCCTCCTTCTCCTCCTCCTCCTCCCATGAAATTCCCTTCTTAGAAACCAAAAGCTCAGAGTGACGGAGAGACAGACTGCTGAGCTGAGCAGCTGTGGGTCTTGAGAGGATGGTGGTTTGTAAACTCTATGCTGTGTTAGTGGTAGGAGGTTGTGTTACCACATGTCGTCTGTGGATGCAGAGTCCTTGATAAGAGAGGAGAGGAAGGAAAAACCCTTCAGACTCTGGCTCTACATCCATGAGATCTCCATCAATGAGGTGCACAGGTTTTAAGCATGTATGACACAAACCCACAGATCATAGACAGAGTGCACAGAAGTGTTTTACCCACACATCTGTGATGCTGTTGTCAATAAAACTCTGGAGTGGAGAACAACAGTGGAATACAACTTCACATGTTCTGTTTGTTGAAGCAGTTCTGGCAACCAACATGTCTGTAAAGATTCTCACTCATCCAGGTCACGGTTGTTCTCGTAGATTAATCAGAGCAACTGTTTGAGTTCCTTGAAGACGTTTCATCCAAGAGGCTTCATCTGACTGACTAGTTGGGAGTTTTTAATGTGGAACGCCCAACTAGTCAGTCAGGACTGATGAAGCCTCTTGGATGAGAGGTGAGACGTCTTCAAGAAACTCAAATCCATGAGATTGACAACCAGTAGTTTCTGGTGAATGTGATCATTTTAGCGCCCTGTCAGCCAAACAACCTCCCCAGTAGAGATTTATTTTGCACATCAGAGTCAACTTACATTTGTTAAATAAAAGGTGTTTTAAACAGGGCAGACATATTTTAGTTTCTAGGCTCGACTGGTTGCTCGATATTCTCTTTGGCAGTACCTGTGAACACTTTTTCGCAACTCTGAACTCACAGAACCTGCAGTCTGCGACTTATTTAACGTTTACTGAGCGTCTCCTCGGCTCTAATTTACACCATGTGGGAGAAGTTTGTCGGCATAGCTGCGTTTTGTTAGCACAGACGGCCAAAAAACAAACATCTAACAGCAGCAGCTAACTCAGTCGTTGGTATGGTTGTATTTTCAGTGATATGAACATCAGAAGGTACACGTCAGTCTGCAAGTGTTTACTTTTGATTTATTTAGGCTAATAAGGCCAGCGCGCACTGTGCACCGGGGCAGATATATTGTGTGGGTTTTTTATTTCTTCGTGACCAATTGAAGAGAAGAAGGAACGACTTCAGTTTGCCAGATTCGCTTCGGCCTTAATTCTGATGTTTTATAAGCATTCTAAGAATGAATCGTAATTTTAAAACAGAAAGGAAAGCAGTTCCATATCTGCGAGTCACTGAACATTCTGCACAATAAATATCGCTGCATGAACTGCATTGAACAAATATTCCAGTTTTCAAACATGACACAAGATTTGATCCAAAGATGCTGCGTACTAATATATATATATATATATGAGTGAATACATGAGTAAAAATATGCCAGTTCAAAAATAAGAGTGCAGCGAATGTGAACAACGACCTGTACATGTGTGCTGGTGCAGCGGACTTGGATTTATTACGCCCAGATTTGCAGAAAATGTTGTGTTAAGTTCCAACAATTTTAATTTGCAAGGAAGTCACCTCCACTCTGTAACACCGCCGTACGACTGGGCTACAAGTTTTAGTGGTTTCACAAACTTGACTGATGTTTATGCGCACTATGATTACCGTAATGTCCGGACTATAAGCTGCTACTTTTTCCACACGCTTTGAACGCTGCAGCTTAAACAACTAATTTATGGATTTTTACGAATTTGCCTCGAGACCAAAGTGACGTTGAGAGCGACAACGAAAGAGAGACTGAAGAAGTAATTCTGAGGCTGAAGAAGACGACTTTAGTGGTTTTAGTGCAGGAGGAAGATGAAGATAGCGATCAATGACTTTTCCAGGTAGGCTGCTGTAGTTTTTATTTTCCTAACCAGCCGTGTTACAGGCACTGTTTGGAAAAAAGCATCTATGGTACGTATTGAATTAAAAGTTTAAAAGAATCTTTCTGTGTAAATATCTCGTTACAATGAGGACACCTGCAGGTTATAGACAAGTGCGGCCTGTATGTGAACAAAACTTTTCTTTTTAAAGTCAGTGGGTGCGGCTTATATTCAGGTGCCTCAATAGTCTGGAATTTACGGTACCTCGCAGCAATCAGTGAGCTGTGTGCAAACACTTCGTGTACTTGTTGTTTGAAAGATGAGCAAATCAGATTATCGTCTCAGCTTCAGAAAAGAGTGACATAAACAAACACTATGGACACAGTTTGACGAAGGCATATTACAGATCACACAGTGGACTTTTCAGGACTTGCAGCAGGAAATTGAACCGCAAACGAGTCACTTTTACTGAACTGTCGTGAGCTTTCCTTAATAGTAATAATCGGAATTTTTAAAAAATGACTGTCGACAGCTAGTTTGATCTCCAGTTAGTAAATACTAGTGCTTTGACAGTCTAAGTGCACTAGAACAGTACATCACTATCGCTTCTCATTCAGATGACGAACAAAATCTCATTGAAAAAAGAAAAAAAACGAGCCGTAAGAAAGTTTAATTAATTAGCTGGTGCGCAAACCTATTTTCTAAGCTGATTTAAAAACCTTTTTAATCGTGACAACGGTATTCTGTGACGCCACTACCGAACAAACACAGCCCCACTGAAGCGTTACCGATTACAGTTTAAGACACCCGTTAAGATTCAGAGCTCATCCGTAAACGTGCACAATTTTAAGGTGTGCAAAAAAAAGAAAACCCCGCTCCAGACGCGTCCTTGAGAGCCCCAATGCTGCCAAAGGTGGCTCCAATAACGACTCACTTAAAAAGATGATTATTGTAATAAATACAGTTTAAGATTTCTATTAGTCATGAATACAACCGCAAAAGAATTCTAAGAAGTTAATTTCACCGTCTCCATGAAAAGCTTTGTGTAGCCCGGTGGCAAAAAAGCAAAAAAAAAAAATCTCAATTTAGCCCATTTTGTATTGAAGCTGCGCTTCATAATACGCACAAGCCAAGGAGGCCGGCAGCTTTGTGAAGGTACTCTAATTTCTAAGATAACTCGATCTGCGGCGGTAATTTAAAAAAGTCCATCTTTATACAAACGTGAAATGTTGAAACAAAACGTCAATTTTTTTTTACTGTCAAGGACGAGATAATGTACACAATTAGAACGCGGCCGACCCGGCGAGCTTATCTGATGAAATTTTAAAAGCAGCACATCGGAGCGGACAAGGGCGCCGGCTTTGTGGTCCGTTTGCATAAAGGAGGACTGATGAGCAATGTTCTATTTAAACCAGTGTGTAGGACAATGTGGTTTTGATTCCACACAAATATCACACAGCTCCACTCATTAGCCCTTTCTGTTTTGATTTAAGGAGAACTAATTAGCGAAATCAGCTCATGTGGTAACGAGATTGAGGCTTTTTTTTTGCACAAATGAAATTGTGGCCTTTTGTCAAAATTATATCGAGTAATGCTTTCGGTGTGAATTCCTGCTGATGTCACGGGCAGAGTGACGCCTCGGGTCGGTCGCTACGTCATTACAGAGTCAATCCATGTGTTTTTTGTGAATGCATTTTGAAAAAGTCTATTTTCTTGTTCTTCTATCTACATATTAATGACATGCACAAGCTTAGTTTAAATTTGCTGGTCACACATCAACCCATGCCAACTCCAAACGAAGCCGACCTACACGGACGTAAAGAGCAGCCGCATACTTACTGTGTCATCACTTCGGTAAGGGTTGAGTTTGTTGTACACCGCTTCAATAACACTTCGTCTGAAAGGAAAATATCAAACACAAGTTTTAACGAAATGGATTAAAGCGACAAGCACTGCCAGCGTCACAGAAAAGCGTCATCGATTGCAACCTTAACGCTCACTTACTTGCTTGCCAGTTCTCCTCCAGGAGGGAGGTTAGGGATGCTCTCAGACGCTAACGTCCGCATAACGTGGACCAGATCTGGGACGCCTTCATCTCCCTGCTTCTTGATAATTTCTGTTGGAAAACAAAATAAGATTATTTCTAAGCATGATTGAATGATGTACAGAAGTGCTTCTGAAAATTATATCGTCATTATGTGCAAATAAAATATTAAAAACGTGTGTGTCTATGTGTTATGGGATGTTCGTTCAGTGTTATACTGTTCAGACTGATGCATGGATGTTGGGTTTTATGACCACTTTCATTCACTACAAGGGATTTGATTAGTTGAATGAACGTTGCTACTCTCCCTAGTCAGCACCTGGTGGGTTAAACTCATTTAGATTTTTAATCAAAGGGTAACTTTTATGTCTGAGATATTAGAGGTGCCTCCTGCCACCAAGCTGAGGCAGCCTCCCTCTCCCTGCCTGTTGGAAACCAGCGAGGTTGAAAGTTTGGAAGCATTATTTAGAAAACAAAAATAAGGTTATATGTGTGTGAACTGTAGAGTCTGCCGATAGACATCTGTAGCTCCAGATGAATAACAGGGTTACACTCGCCCCCTTTAGCTGCCTGAGTCACCCACTATGACAAGTAAACAATAAACTTACGGGAAACCCTGACACATGATAAAACATCCTTATTGCAAAGAGTGTCACCAAACACTCCTTTTGCTTTCACATTCTGAATTCAGGGATTAAAAAAAGGGAAAGTCGTCCTGTGTCAGGACAGCACAGCAGCCCCTTTCCCTGTAGCGGCAACTTAAGTATAAGATAAAATAATCACATTTCCACCTTCTGCTAACTTGAGGTCTCACATTATCCTCATCAAAAAGAACTAAACATTTACATTCACCTTTATTCGGGCTTACAATCATGTGCATATTGTGTAAAGAAACCACCCTACGTGTACAGGAACTGGTAAAACACACTAAAATCGAGGTGGTGACCGTCTGTGCGCCTAAATGAAAACGTGTCAGGGTGACGAGTGCCTGTCAGGAGGCCTGTGATGAATGAAAATCACCCGACACGTTCCCCGTTTATTCAGATAAAAACCAGGCACAGTGACCATGACAGAGCTGTGCAGATATAAAACCTAACAATGACAGCATTGTCAGACTTCATGAATTTCTTTTAGCAACAGCATCAGAAATGTTAATGGTTAATTAGAACTTTTTCCACCACATTGTTCGGATGCTTTTTGCGGCCTGTACATCCTTAAACATAATGATATATTTACAGTACGAGCGATGCGGTTCCGACATGGTCAAGGCTGGTCAGCTGCACTGTTGTTGCGTCACTGCTGAAGTGCTGCTCAATGTCATTAACGCCATTGTACAAATAAAGCGGACGGTTAAATAGCACTGGGAAACGGCAAACGGCAAGAATCTGATTTTCTTCCATTTTTCAAAGAGAACAGGAGATCCGTGTGCAGAGAGAGAAGGCGTGTGGAAATGGCGGAACAAAAACGTACGATTAGTTAATATTTTACTGTTTAATTGTAGCACTGGAAGAACAGTAAGTGTCACACCGGCGTCGAATCTTTTATTGAAAATGGCTTGGATGGAGTCTGAACACAGCAGCGGGAGACACTAAGTTAATGTAGTCGTTAGGTTCAGGTGCTATGAAGGTGTTCATGGTGTTCTGTGATAGTTAGAAACCCCGTAGAGCTTCAGGATCATCCAAAAACACACTCTGGGTCTGATGTAAAGCGCAACTTCAGCACATGATGAAGGCAACTGGTGGAACAGGGTACCAACCAAGCGAGCAAAGACACAGGACTGTCTGTGTCTGTAAAGACCGTCTTAGCTTAAAATAAGATGATATTTTTTAGCTAACTGAAAAAAAAACGTGAGTGGCTTATATTTGAGGACTTATAACATCAGATCTTGTTTTTGAATGACGATGCAGGGAGTGTTGAATCATGGGTTGTTTTTAGCCGTAATGTTGCTACGCTAGCGAGTGTCTTCAGTCTGCTTGGTTAAAGAGAGTTCAACCTGCCGGAGCTTCAGAAGGCTTGTGAAATGTGTTTTGGGGACTAGGAGGAAAGAAAATAAGCAAGCAGCTGTCACAGTGAGCTCAAAATGACGACATGAAAAAAGCTAACTGTCTGGGAAAATGATTCTCAGTGCTTCAAGTAACTGACAAGAGAATGAGCTAGGGTCGGATTCACAGACATCAGTTCTAGATGTTCAGACTTACGTGATGAAGACTCTCACTGTTGAGGTGTCTTACCCTAAAAAATATATTTCCCTTCAAGCAGTGGCGGCTGGTGAAAATGTATTAAACCATTCATCAAACTTTCACCAATATTTACAGGATCTGTACAAACTCAAAACACAACATAAATAATAATGTAAAAAACATATACTATTCAGGGCTCCAGATTCTCATTTTGTTGCACCTCCCGCCTGGTCAACGGTAAAACATATGACTTTCTGAACATTTTCTACGATTTACTGACGCTCCCTGAACGCACCATGTAGCAGACTGTGGTAGCTGCTGTTTGGTGGCTGTGGTGTGCTCAGACAGGTGTGTGACCAAAATGACTTTAAAAATAATAAACTAGACCGTTCTAATGTCAGATTTGTCCGAGGTTAAACCCAGTTACATGTATTCTACACGCGGTCTTTTCTCCACTGACAGCAGGCCGATGCATTAAGCCGTCACAACAGTAGCTGTGATCTAGTAGACAAGGAGGGGACGGCCATGTGACGGCTCAGAAAGCGCAGTCGTAAGAAAGTCAAGGGACAGTTTTGATATCCAACCAGAAGACAAAAGCAAATAAAGACAAAATTAACTGGCTTATAGCCAAAGTGGATGGGTCCGGGACGCACCGAGCTGCGCCCCGTGAGAAAGTCTCAGCTGCCAATCAGAGCCCGGGCCGAGGTCACATGATCACAAAACGCTTTTCGAGCTACAGACACACTCATGTGGCCGCGCCCGGCATCCAGGAAGTGTAGAATTAGCAAACAGGCAGTAAAGACGAATATTTAATCTGTTAATAATACAAACATCGTTAATACAGCAAAAGAACATGAAGGTTACTATTATTTTTATTATTATTTTATTATAATTAATTCAAATTTAACTTTACGTTTGAGAACTACTTTCAATCTGGCCATTAGTAGTGGGGGGGCGGTGCCCTGCGTCCTGTATTAACCAGCTGCCACTGCCTAAAAGATTTTCTTTCAAAAAAAGGTTCTGGAAAATGAGATGCCATCCTATAATCTCACTGACAAACAGGCCGGCTGATTAGATGTGCATGGCCTTAAATGCAACGTGTACGGGCCTTTCTATGCATCTTGTTCAGCCAAAGCTTCCTGCAGGACTAAATAAAGTTATTTTTGTGCTTTTAATAGCACTTTTTATTAACTGTGCAAAAATATATTACAGGTTAACAGCATTTCATCCTAGAAACACTTGTCAACGTTGTTAAAGAGTCCTGTAGGCGACCACAGTGTCAAAAATGTGCTACAATGACTTCTGACCTTTCATTACTCGTGACCTTCAGAACAAACACTGCTATATACCGTATGGTGGGGTGTAATTTTGGAAATGTATCACAGAACGGGGAAAGTTGTGACATTAATGTTATCAGTTCACGTATTGGTAGCAACCACAACAAACAAATAAATACTGGTTATTGTCATTAACTCCATATTGCACATCTACATTGGATTACTTCCAATTAAATGGGCGTTAATAAAAAACAAAAAACATGGATAATGACATGTCAGTTAATTCTACCGGCAGGCAGTGGGAGGGTACCAATGATCAAATGTACTATCCAGTCTCGCTTTGCTCCAAACACATCTACAAGTATCGTATCTACAGCCGATAAGCCACAAGGGCAGGGGAGGCACGGCACACAGGTGGAACAAGAGGTGCAGCGAAAGAAAATAAACATGTACTTCAACATGAGTGGTTCGCTGAGCTGAGAAGAACTGATGTAGCGTGTAAATAATGCAGGCGGTGGTGTGGCTGGTGCTGGCAAGCCCAAAACTTTAACATGTTGCTGTGCCAATGTCACACAGCATACCACGCTGCTGAAGAGGAGACGACTTTTAATAAATTGTATATTACAAAAAAATATTCACACCTGATAAACTTGCCCATGGAAGCCTAAGTTTCCTGTTAGTTGCTGACAACCAGCTGTCTATGACCTGAATCTAGCACCGTGCCACACATTTAAAGGGGCTGCTCGTTATGCAGAATAAGTTTGGTGATTCTGTCATAAATATAGACACACCTGACAGTAGCAGATGTTATGTTTTTGTAGGCTAGTACAAGGTTTTTCTTTATGTAATGCCCCCATAAGCTGGCACTGAATTATATCAACTGTGACAGGCGACATACGATTTTCATGCCAACAAAGCATATTGAAATTAACTGATGTGATGTGAGAGATTCGATGGCACCGGAGCCATAAGTGTAAAATATTCTGGAGTCCTGAACTGAACAAAGTGAGCAAACGTTTAACATTGTAGTTGCAAACACTGAATGTTAGATAATCGTTTATTGACATACATTAGAGTAGCGCAAATAAACGTGTTATGCCGCCACCGCAAACAGTAAAGAATGAATGTGACGTCTTTCACTTGGTGTTTTAACATGTCACACTCTAAAATGCAAAGAATATAAATACTTAAAACCTTTAACAGACTGCTGAGTTTTAATGTTAATATGCAGGCGTTCACGATAAGCCTTGTGACATTGTGTGATCCATTGAAGAGTGTAAATGTTTAACAATCATACCTCAACAGACTTCAGCTTGTATTTTAGGCTATTATTATTATTATCATTCTGTCTGATGTCTGACCAGATGTAAATGATGAAAAAAAAAAGAAAAACCACTGTTGCTTTCTTTTAAACAGGGTTTTGAATGTTTTCCTTAGGCTCTAGGTGTCCAGGTGTGTACAGGTGTGGCATATAAACATTTGCAAGCTTTGTTTTCTCATTAGACAAGATGTTACTATTGCAATAATAACAGAAAATGTGAAAAAAAATGGAAAAACTAAACAAAAATGGACTCTCCTACCTTCTACTCTGCCCTCCAGATATTTGTCCAGCTCAGTCTCCCGTTTCACTGCTTCTGGAGATACCTTTGGGGCTCCAGGAAAGCAGATTAACACAACACTCATATTGTCTCGGCTTCCCTGTGGAGAAATAATGAACAAGCACAAGTCAAGCAAAATGTTGAACTGTGATTCCAAACAGGTAACAACACGTCATTGTAGGTGGTGTGGACATGTCGTACCTTGTACAAGCAGGTGTCAACAATTTCATTGCTGACTTTTTCAAGATCATCTGTAACCTCTAGCCGTGACCTCACAAAGTCACACAGTTCCTCATTGGCCATGACATCCCAGATGCCATCACAAGCTAGAATAATGAATTCGTCTTCTCCCTCGCATCTCTCTATTGCATAAACTTCGGGCTCTGGAGAAACAAGCTGCTCTGTCGGGCCTTTTCCATGCACACACTTGTAGTCGAAGTCACCCAGAGCCCGAGACACAGCTAGGGACCCATTAACTCGCTGGATCATGACTGAGCCACCGGCATTTTGGATTCTCTCCTTCTCCAGTGGGTTGCTGGGTTTGTGATCCTGTGTGAAGAAGTGCACACCTCCACCCCGGCTGAGGAGACCCCGCGAGTCGCCACAGTTGATAAAGTAGATATGGCTTGGAGAAATCATCACGCCTACTGCAGTGGAGCCGCTGCGGTCGACACCATGCTTCTTCTCGGAGATGGTTCGCATGTGTTCATCGATCTGCAAGAATCCTGTGCGGATCCCATTCTTCACGCTATCCACTGAGGGATCCTCCTGAAGAGCACTCTGGAAGTCTGAGTTGCTGGTGATGTGCTCCAGCAGGTGCTCACAGCAGTACTTGGCCACCTGAGAGCCGGCATGCCCGTCATAAACAGCAAAGAATGACCAGGGGTCAAGACCATGAGGCAGACCAATTACTGCTGTGTGTGCATCTTCCATCTCAACCCGCCAACCCTGCATGCTGCTCAGCCCATACCTCAGGTTGTTACCCTCACCGTGGGAATTGTATTTTTCCATCTTTGGTTTGTCCAGAAATGCACCCATTGTGTCCCTCTAACAATCTGTAACACAAAAAATATAAAGAAATCTGTTGACAAAAAAAATGCAGAAATTCATTGATTCAATCACAGTCAAAAATTTAAAACTTTGTGGCAACACTCAGTTTCTAAACATGCCAATATACAAATGTACACTGGAAAAAATCTGAATAATTCTCTATGAAAAACAAATCATGTATGCCTAGTGCCTTAACAGAATTACACTCTTATCATTTTTATATCACTTGGGTTAAAACAGAGAGCTTGTCTTCCATCTATTTGTGGCAAAAGATTAGCATCTTGGAGCTGAGTTCAGGCCCCGCTCGAGTCTAAAAATAGGAGACCTGTGTACACATTTTGGCTACATATTAGGACCGCTTCTGCTGTGGATCAGATTGAAACGCCATCGAGCCACTGGCTGTTCAACATTAAACGTAACGATACGAGCTCGGTTATTAGATCGTATTTTAATACACTGTAAATCACTCTGACCTTCGCAATGCAGAACACTCCACCACACAAGCCAGTCGGGGTAATATGAGTTACAGCCATCGTTACATGCCTGCAAAGCTAACGTTAGCTAACCGACTGACCAGTTACTCGATAACCACCACCAAACATAAAATCTGTCAAGTCCAACACTAACGCTGTGATAAGCTGGTTTACACCACGAACCAGCTCAGTAAAGGCTACTTAGGTGTTGAATTTACAGAAAAAGTTAGCTGAGTAGCAAGTCCAGACAACAACTCAAATAAACAAACAGCCTTGCCTAGTTGCGGGCCTTGACCCTTGTCCCTCACAGCTAACTTTGACAGGCCTCCCTCAACCACGGTTAGCTAATGCACAGCCCTCGGCCTTGCTAATGTACTACCGCTACATGCTAACACGGCTAGGGTAGATAAGTGCCCAACAGTTACGGGCTAAAGAGTAAACATTTTGAGACTTACCAAATAACCAAAATGCCGGTTCACAGCGACGGAAGATGCGACAGGGACACGGACCGACTGGCCGCGGTTCACACCAGAAAGGGTGCACCGACGAAACTAAGGGGGTTTGCGGCGGTTTAGCTAAGCTAGCTAGCCAGTTAGCTAGCAATGAGCAGTCGTCACTCAAGACTCAGTGCATATAAATTGTGTAAATGCGGAGCTCCCTCTTTGCGTACGCCCGTGATGCATTACATTATCTCAGAATATTCTAACGGATTTTCTTGTGATTTAAGGGGCCGGAGCTTTGTGCGGCCAAGCCAGGGGGAAGCTGAAACGTCTGCCCCAGCCTCTCCACTTGACAGCTTGACAGCTTGCTAGCTAACGTTAGCTTCGGAGGAGCAGAGAGCCACAGACACAGGACCCGGATGTTACAGGTTGCGTATTCGAAAACATGACATCATTGTTGAGGAGTTGTAGCTGCTCCACCGGAACGTGCACAGACAGCATGTTTACTGTAACATGGGCTCCCACATCTGAAATATAGCATGCACACCGGGTCACACATCTGCATCTGGATTGAATGTAGCTTTCTAAAATAAAACTGCCTTGTGTCTGAAGGGATGTGCGTAAATATGCGCTGGTATAATGGATGACAGTGTTTTGACTCGGCAGTGTTTACATGGGATGGATTAAAAAACGTTACATTTGTTTGTTTGTTTTTGTCATGCAATGCGACATGCTCCCAGAGTAGAGGCAAGATTCTGACACTGTGGGGATGGAGTCCAGCCCACCAGACTTCAGATTTTAACCTGATAATTGCACCTTTTTCAACCATTTCAGAGTAAAATTAATACAAAATGAGTGTGTGCACATGTGTGTGGGCAAATAAGCTGACAATACTTGGACTTACTTCATTAAAGCATCCTTGCACTATCTTTGCATTTCCATTTGCTTCAAGATTTTTAAACATAGGATTCTAATGCAATACAAGAGAAAGACATCCAGAACAGCCATGAGACAGTCATCACTGTGAAATGCTAAGATAAATTTGAACATCTTTTTTGACTCACGTTGCATCTCTTTGTTCTTGGTGCAGTGATTTTGGAGGGAAAAGGGCCAAAGGCCAAAAGGGTGGGGTTATATAACCTCCTGGGTGTGACTAGCAGGATGACAGGTTATGCAGCAGTACAGACGTAGAAGCTGTGATTTCTCCAGAAGTGAGGTGCTTAAACTTGTGATTTCAACAGCCGCACCTTCAAATGGTGCGTTTGAATTCATCAGGTAATCATAAGTTAGTCATTAAATGTACAATTAAATTGGAAAAGAAAGACAGGCTCTACTGTGTGAGTTCTTCCATCATGACTGAGTACAACACAGGACACTTTTTAGAAATGGATTGTATGAATATATAAGAATGTGTGGTTGGACCTTGGAGAGTGAGTTTGGTGTCAGAACATTGCAAATGTGGGTAGCGTTGCTTTATTTTATAGACAGGATAACTCTGTTCAGCAAACATTTCAGAGGTGAAACCACAGTCAATTGAGATTTTTTTTTCTCAAGACATGAAGCAGCAGAAATTTTCAGGTTTATGGTTTTTCCTTCCTTCTGTCTTTTGTCTCATTGTGCATAGGTTAAGGTTTTCTTCCTCTCCATTTAAACCAAGGTACTTTGCTGCACCTGAAAGCAACACGGTGCACTCAGATCCATCGTCTAAGATGGTACAGGTGTCAAATGTCTTCACCTTGTTTCTGAGTCTTACTTTCACTACTTTAAGAAGTACTTTGGGTGACAGACTTTTTGTGTTCATGTACAATACTCTGGATGTTTATGTTCTGTTTACATCGTTCCATATGCCGAGATGATGGCCATCACATTCAGAGCTTTTTCAAAGCACATTCTGCTGCTTTGTGAGTTCTGCCACATTTCCAACATCTGTTCTGCTCTTTTAACCATTTTGGCACTTTGTGTGTGCTTATACCTCTCAGGTTTTCACAATCTTTTAAATAGTGGGAGGGAGACTGACAATATGCACGTTGGTACCTTCAGAGAAATTGTGTCTCTTTTCCTGTTGCGGTGCATCAGTGTGAAGACTTTCAATCGGCCCCACGGAGAACGGTGGCTGTTGAAAACTTAAATCTTTGATTGTGGTAGACCCGATTCTTTAGTTGGTAGCCCAAGAACAAGCCGGAGAAATCTTCAGTTCTCAGTTGAGTTTTATTTTTTTCGGTCACAGGTGAAGTGAGGCAGCGCTGGAATTCAGAGGGACAGAGAGGAATCTCATGTCCAGCCGAACTGAGGTTTTTCGGTTCCAGGTTACAGATATCTTCTTGGGCTGGGCCTGACCCGAACATAGATAAGATTTTTACACTCCCGAGTTTAACTGGCCAGTTACCAATGGCGTGGACAGACATACCTCTTGTGCGCTCTGTCCACATCCTTGATGAGCAACATGTGTGGATGTTGTTGGTACGGCGTGTAGCTAAAGTAACAATCGTATCTGATAGAATAGAGGAGTTTCTGCTGTCTCCAAGTGTGTGAACCGGTTCTCACCGGCCACATTATCTTCAAGGACGTATGCTGTTCTCAGTAGGAAAATACGAAACAGAATCATAGGCTCAGTGCAAAATACACATTCAGAATACATAATAGCTCAAAACATACTTAATTATAACAATTGGTAAGTGTTTTTTGCACTTGAAGAGAACCAGTATGCAAGTTGCTTGTTTGCACTACAACTATGAGACATTCTGCCTCTTTTTAAAAACCAAGCAGCAAAATTTGCTAAATTAAAGTGGACAACAGATGCTGAGCAGGCATACCTGGTTAAACTGGAAACTGCAGGAAGCTTAAACAACAAATGCTAACACAGGCTAGCTCTGAAGCACCTTCTCTTGGTTTAGGAGACAGTAGCCTAACCATAACCATTAGCATAACCATTAGTGACCAAACTACAACATTTTGAAACCTTTCAGCAGCTCCATGAGCATCCTAGTATTGTCTGTGTTTCCTTCAGTGGTTGACCATATTGTCGTTGAAAGGTCATAGGTCACAGGCAGAGGATGGTGGTGAGATGAGGCGAGGTGATCCAATAGCAGGAGTTTGGTGAGAGCCATTGTTAACATAACAAATTGATGAGGGTCTTTGTGCCTGAATTAAGGAAAAGAGGGCCCCTCTACTTGAAAGAATACCTTGAACCTATAATCTGCTGTACAGGAGTGAAAAAGGCAAAGAATAATTTCAACTACAGGGAACTCCAGCAAGCTGTGTGGCTTATGGAACTGGAGAAGGCTGACAGACAAAATAATGGGAATGAGGCTGTATGGACTGTTTGATATGGAGCTATGTGCTATGAATGAAACAATAAGATGTGCTCGATGCTGAGACTGGTAGCATCTGCTCAGGAGGCCAATGAGTTGGTTTAAATAGACACTTGAGGTACAGGTTGAGATAAAAGAGGCCGGCTCACTGGCAAATGGCTGAAAGACATATTAGGTGATGAAACTGAATTTGAAGGTCCAGAAGAACTAAGTCCTGACTGTGAACACCGCAGCGATCATCAAACGGTCCCAGCAGAAACTGCATTTCCTGAGGAGGCTGAAACAAGCCTCTCTCCCTGCCAGCATCCTCAGGACTTTCTACAGAGGTGTGGTGGAGAGCGTTCTGACATCCTGCATCTCCACATGGTCCTCCAGCTGCAGGCTGTCAGACAGAAAAGCCCTGCAGAGGACAGTTAGAGGAGCTGAGAGGGGCATCAGAGCCTCCCTCACCTCTGTCCAAGAACTTCTCCAGAGCCGCTGCACGAGCAGGACTCTGAACATCATCAGGGACTCCTCACACCTTCTCCATGAACTGATTGAACTGCTGCCATCAAGCAAAGGTTTCTGGAGCGTTGAAGGAAGAACCTCCAGACTGATCAACAGCTTCATGCCACCAGCTGTCAGAATGCTGAACTGCTGATTTAGATATACAAACACTTATTTAAATTGCTTTAAGTTATTGGATCCTGAAGGAACACTCTCTCATCTTGCCTGCACTGCTGTGTATGTACAGCAACATGACAATAAACTTGATCTGATTTGATTTTGATTTGATTTTAAATCCATAAACTGTAAGGTATGCAAGGGACAGAGACTGGACTTGGGACAACAGTTGTAAAGGATGACTGTTCCTTAAGATGGGGTTCTGTTTCTCTTATGTTTACAAAAGGCAGAGTGCCTGTAGATATCAGAGAAATGTTCCGGGGCAGACGGGGAACGTTTTCCACTATTTTGAGTGGATGCTGATTTGTGTAAATGTGTTTCAGGTTGTGTTTTCCTACAGGGGGCTTCATTTCTTTCACAATCTTGTGGCTGGTTGGAGGCATACTGAGCGTGCTCGGCCTCCTGGGACCTTCTGAATCCCTCTGAGAGGAGCTTCAAATTGTTCAACTCTTCCAGTTAATTCTCCATCCATACCCTCTGACTGTTCCACTGCCCAATCAGTGATCATATCAGTGAAACACACAGAATTCTCGATTCCTTAAGGGGATGGTCATAAAGTTCAGTTTTAAAGTCTTTTATTAAATTATTATTTATGTTTTTTTTTTTTTTACTGCCCATCATTTGACGGAGAGGGTTAAGAATCCATTTTCCACCGTAGATGTTCAATCGGACTCAAAGGGCCATGAACAAATTACAGTGAAGGTGATGGCCTTGGCTCACAGAACATCTGATGTAGAGTGCACATTTAAGCACAGGATACAGAAAGCCGTTCTAACCATTTATTTGTTAGATGATGGTGGTTAGGTGGATGGATAAATGGATGGATATGTGAATGTTTTCTTCTATACATAAAGGAGGAAATAAATCCAAAAAGACAAAGTAAATGCAGCTACAGATCAAATCAAAATGTCAGCACCGGCAAGTTAAGTGAACAAAGTATAATTGGCTTCATCAGTTAAACTCACTGGATTAATTCATCCATGCACTGGTTCCATTTTCTTCAAGCTATTTAAAACTCATGCATTACAAACGAATGAGATCCAAAAGAGACAAACTGTGAAATATGAGCTAAATAAAATAATAAAGTTAAGCTGGAAAGTCACTTGTTTTACATACAGAAGGTCTCTTTTTTTCTCAGCACAGTGGTTTGGAGGGAAAAGGGCTTCACAGGCCAAAAGGTTGGGGTTATATAAGCACCTGGGTGTGACTAGTAGGACAACAGGTTATGCAGTACAGAGGTAAGAGAGGTGATTTCAAGTTGTGATTTTAACAGCCGCGCCTTCAAGTGGTACATCTGAATTTATCAAATAATTACAAGTTAGTCAATAAAGTTAGAGTCAAATTGGGAAAGAATGACCAGTTGTGCTATGAGTCTAACCAATTATTTCCCTCCAGATATGACCGCTGCTGTGTGAGTCCGTTCACCATGACTACGTCTAACATGGGACACTTTGACTTCAGGTCACAGTCCTCCAGGTGGTTGGGGCTCCATTAACAGCACTACAGTTCTTTTTTCTAAATTCAGGCTGTTCTTTTGCC